CAGATGTGACACTCTGGTGGGGGATGTTGATAATGCAGGAATTATAAATGTATAGGGTCAGGAGGTATATGGGAAATTTCCTAGTCGTGAACCTAAAACTGCTCTTAAAAAAAAGCATAAAGTCTTAAAAAAAAGAATAGATTGTGATAGAAAACAAGAGGGAAAAAATTGCATGGTTATCTATTAAGCAAAAATGAATGACTTATTTCTGGAAACAGTAAAAGCCTTTGAGTGAAGGTGATAACTAGAGAAGATGATTTTTGGCAAGGGTCCGTCTATGAAACTTAAAAATTCTTGACAAAAGATATTTGCTCACCTGTGGTTTCCTCTATTTGTGATGCAGGCAAAGTTTTAGTAAATAGCTTTGCAAAGCCTAATTTGTCTATCTAGCTCTTTAATTCTTAAATGGAAGCTGGGCATATTTTAATAATTAGTAGATAAAATATTTCTCTTTTGGCTCTTTCATCTTGTATTCCAGTGAACTATCATGGCTATAATTCTGTCCTTTGTTCAGTAAAATAGGAAAATTTCCTTACATTTCATTGTCTGAATTCCTCTTATGGAGAAGTGGGAGTCTTGAGAGCTGAGTGGGGGAGGAGGTGGAGGAAGGAATTCAGACAGAACTGAGGGTAATCTCAGAGAGTGGAAACACTTATCCAAGGAGCAGAACTAAAATTAATAACCAAGTAGGCAGTTCAGCAAAGCTGCTGCACAGCCTCTGTGCTGTGACCCCTCGGAGTTTTGCTCAAGTACCAAGGCAGCCAGGGGCTGGGGATTGGATACTGAAGTAGAATCATCAAGACAGACACCGGGGACATCCAACCAGAAACCTTGGAAGAGAGGGCAGGACATAGAAACCTGAGTGATTCCCTGATTGTGTGCTGCCTTTCCCTTTATATAGGGCAGCTCACTATGGTGAGGAGGAAACCATCAATTCACAGCAAACTCCAAAGGGCTATAAGAATCACTCAACAAACTAAAATGTAGTAGCTATTGCTTAAAATTCATAAGCCATCAGTTGGACCATGGCTATCTTTCTGTTACATAATTTTTTACTTTTCCTGGTTTACTGTCAAAAGAGTAAAGTCTCCTCTATGCCCTGTTTGGATAATAAATACTAGAACCTACTTTCCCACTAAATGTTTCAACACTGATGGTTGCAGATAAGTTTTGCCTTCTTTGCAAAACCTCTCAAAATACTGCTATTAGAGAAAATGTAACTGCTAAGTTTTTACGCTGCTTTCAGTTAGATGAAATTGTTCATAGAAAAGCCTTGAAGTGAAGATCAAGGTTTGTAACCGTGATTGTCACAGAAGAACAGTTGTCAGTCAAGGGCAGGGCCTACATATTCATTTGTACACTGATCCATTCATGCAAGTTCACTCGATAAGCCCAGTGCTTTTCTTGTTTTCCACTTCCTTTCAATTTTCATTTTCATAAGCTGACTTATGTATAGCATAAAATTATACCATGATTATATATTGTATTGTATAATAGAGCAATATGTAATAGGCAGTATAAGAGAGCAAAGATCGTCTGCTCAGCAGCGGAGTAATGGCAGTGTTCTCGACAAGGGAAGAGGCGTGGGTCAGGTGACTTCCTACGTCTCCAGCCTGACCTGCGCAGGTAAAATATTTCCTTATGTTCCCTCATGTGTAGCTAAACAAGGTTTGCAGATCATTCCTACGGTTACACGAGAACTTTCTGTGTTAATTTATAAATTTTGACACTAACTGACGACAGGTGGCTCATGTACAAAGACTATAGTATTTAAATAGGAGGGAAGTGAGGACATTAAGGAGCTAATGAACATGGAAAAGGTGGTAAAGTCAATAAATTGGTGGCATAAATTACCTCAGCACTCACACAAATGTTTATAAAAGTCATCTGAATTCCTGAGCCTTTATTTACTTACTCAGGGTTAAGGCTAAAAGCATTAGGAAGTGGGGAAAAAGTGGATCTGACATGAGAACTCTGAGAAACCTCAAAATAATTGCTGTCACAATACTATTGGAGAGGACACACAGCCCTCTTGACTGAGACAAAATTCTTCAACGGGGAAGAAGACAGAGAGCACTGGGGTATAACTAAGCAGAGAGCAGTCCCAGATGTGAAAAATCAACACACTCTAAACAATTTGAATAGAATAACAAAGGAAATAGGAGTTAGAACTGTGAGAACTGTAAGTCAAGTATTGAGAGCAACAGGTAGACATGCCAAATAAACTACGTGTCACCATAATAAAACGTTTTATTTTACCTGGTCTGAAACGCAAGTTCTGAGAATTGCTCCTAAGAGTTACAGAGGAAGCAAAAAATAAGAAAAACATCAAAAGCAAATACACAAATGAAAATTTGAGAGTGTGTATAAACATAGAGCTCAGCAACGGCATTTACATCTGTGGGACCAGTTTACCTCAAGAGTATAGAAGACGGTTTAAAATCGAGAACATTTCCATACCGAATAAGCTTCTTAATCCATTTGACATAGAGATGGATTATGAATTCAAAGAATGGCATTTTCTTATGCATTTAGACTTTTTAATATTGATCATTAACTCATCACCTTTGAAACTTGTATGAGTCACATATGCTTTTATACATATTAAATATTTCATATTCAACTTCAAAAAAAAAGAAATAAAGACAGAATATAGACAATTCTTTTAGGGTCAACAGAGTTTTTTGTTTTTAAAGATAGCAGATACTAGTGATGAGAAAGATCCAATAGGGAGGGTAAAATCAGTTACACAGGAGCAAGAAAGGACCCTGGCAGGAATGAAATCCATGAGCGAGCCAGAGGCGATAGAGCTCTCTGCAGCGGTGGAGAGGTTATCCTGAATCAGAAGCAGGAGCCATTAGCTGGGTTATAGGGTAGTGATGCAGACAGGTGGTGAAATTTGCTGTTGAGAGTGTGTGTGTCTTCTCACTGAGTCTGTTTTCTCAGTGGAATGATGGAAAAGGACGTCAGGCTGTAAGCCAGGAGAGGAGGGAGAGTTTGAAGTGTGAGGGTAAAGGAGATGTGAGAGTCCCTTCAGAGATTTAACTGGGAGCCCCCCTTGAAGAAAATGGTCGTAAATATTAGAAGTTGGTTCCGCGGCATGGATAAAGGTCTAAAGTAAGCAGAAAACTGATTTTCATCAAGGGTAGAATTTTGTTTTGGAAAGCGAATGCAAAGAGAGAGAAAAGGGAATTGAGTTCATTTGCCAGGAATGATTTTAATAAAGGATCCATGGGAATTAACTCAGGTGTAGGCTTGACAAACAGTGAGAAGTTTGTGAGGCCAATAGCTAGGAGGTCCTGGTGGTGGCAAAAAATTGTTGACAAGGTTGAAGCCAGAGGGAGGGGGCTGAAGGGGAGGGCACAGGGCTTAGACATGCCAAATAAACTACATGTCACCATAAAAGAAACGTTTTAGAGAACAGGAAACCTGAAGTTCTGATTCTGAGGAGGTGAAGTTATTGGTAATGGCAGTTCTAAAAAATGGCCCTAGAGTGAGTGGGTGAGATGGCATTGGAGGCAAGATCGCTGAATATGAGCAAGACTAGGTAGGAGCTGAGTGAGAAGCCCAGAGGTTACACAGGTCATTTGCCTGAATTGAAATCACCTAAAATTCATGTCAGAGAGACAGAGAGAAGAGATGGAGATAATGGACTAGGTTCTAAATGTTCCAAAAAATAGGAGGGACTAGTAGGACTGCACCATAGGGAGGGTAGGTAGTGGTAGAATCTGATGCCATGTGCATGGAAAGTCAAAATTTTAATAAGAATGTATATGAACATTATATTAATAGGCATTAATATCTTCCAGAAGAGAGGTGGCATCAGATGCAGCTAGTTTATATTAAATGAGAGAAAATATCAAAAATATTTTTATGTACATAGCAATGGAACTAGATAACAAATTTTTATCATGACCATGAATGTTATTACTACTCTTAAAGAATTAATAAGGAATTTCCAAATTAAGAAATTTGCCAGTTGCCTTCTAACTTGAACTGAGTGAACTAAATGAGAATATAAATGAGTACATTCAAGATTTCTGCCAGAACAACTTTTCCCTCTTTCAGTTCTCACTCTAAAAGTCCCCCATTAGAAAGGCCTGCACTTCACTCTATGGACAAGAGACAGCACCACTACAGGCCTGTGCTCCATCCCTCGTCCCTGCTTTAGTTTTCTCTGCTGTACTGAACATCTAATATATTTTCATTTTAAAAAATTTATTGTTTATTGTCTGGCTCTTCCCTCTCCCACTAGAAAGAAAACCCACAAGGGTAGGGCTTTGTTTTGTACTGAACTGTAACCTCTGTGCTGGGAACAGTGCTAACTACGTACCAGGCACTTAATAAATATGTTGAATGAATGAAAACAACCACATATGTGTGTATATATATACATATATATGAATCAAACATCCTTGTATCTGTATTCTAATTCCCCATAAGAAATACCCTGAAAAGACTCATTAAAACAAGGAAAATGATTAACTTGTAAGTACCTCAAGTAGTACCTTACATTTCAGGTTAATTTCTATGTTGAATTTTACTTAGCTAAATAGTCATAAGTTTAATTGAGCTCTCAGGAGGGAACCTACATTTTTTTTTTCCAACTGCATCCTTGATCATCTTTAATTCAAATTAAGTGCTTTGTCCCTAAACTGCTGAGAACCTGTTGCTCACATCTGTTACTCGTTCCATAGGAATCCAAGAAAGAATATATAGACATTTCAAAATGGCAAGCACTGTGAACATCCTTTTCCCAATATTTTCAAATGCAGCTTCCTTGGCCAAATGGAGAGACTCCAGGTGTCCTTCTTCTGACACAAGAAGCATGAATATGATAGTGCCTTCTGCCAAACCAAACCCAGGGGCTCAGGGAAGAAGGCCCATCCCTTCCCACTCACCGCAGTGATGCTCCACTGGTACACCTGGGGATCCCATTTCATGGTGCTGGTGATCCTGCTTAGGATGGGGGTGGGGAGAACCCTCAGAGTTGCATTTACCTGTTTATTTCTCAAGGGCTGAACCACTTCCCTAATGCACAGCTCTAGATCATTGAGATAGTCGTTTTCTGTCTGTATCAGCTCCTTGATGATTCTCAAACGCTTTGCCATCATTCTCTGCATCTGATGCTCCTCCTCCTGAGTTAAGGTCTCAGCTGCAGAACCCCTGGCCTGTGGAGTCATCTTTTCTGTTGAAGGAAAACATGTACATGTGAGGTATTGTCTAAGATTTCTTGTTCCTTCATTACAAATGGTGCCACTGCAGGATTATTTTCAGCAAGGAAAAGGCTTAGAGAGTCTTTGCTGTGTGTTCATAGGAAGTGATGTATGGTGGTTCCCCCTAAGGTTGGAATCCTATAAAATTATGAATGAGAAGGGGTGTGAGAATGGATACTTCTAACAAATCATTAAAATGATACTTGACTGTCATGGCCAGTCTTTAAAATATTCCATTGCTATATTAGGGATATTTTATATTATTAGGCTATAAACTTAATATTTACTGTATTAGGCTGTAAACCTGTTCTTTATGCTGGAGGTTAAACATAGAAAAAACAGTTCATAACTTCTGAACACATTTGCTTTTAACGCAAGGGAAGATTTTTAATTACAGAGTAGAACACCTTCCAATTTTGTTTGTCCCCATTATTAAAAATAATTGCCTCTCAGTCTCAGTGGGTAATATGCATACTTCAATGAAATGGAAAACAATTGCACATGATTGGGATTTTTCTTTCAATTCATAATCAGAATCCATGAGGAATGAGGCAGTGGTGGATAAAATAAGTTTCAGCTAAGATTTTTCCTGGCTCATCTTCAGTACCATGCATATCTTGTTATTTCAAAAGTCTTGAATGCCAAATGGGAATTTTTAATTTAAAAAATCACAGTGCTGAGGAGATGCTGAGGTGAATGGGGAGCCTCATAAGAAGCCAATGTTGTATATGAAGTATAATGTAAAAAGCAGTTAAGTATCTTCAGGGATGAGATTCCCATGGCAATGTAAAATTTTGGAAGACACAAACTAGATCACAGTAGGTACATGAAATCAGAGCAGTGATAGCAGGGCAGTGTGAGTCTGTGTGTGTGCATAAATAAATTAGGTTTAAACTTAAAGTCATCACAAACTTAATTTTCATTTTCATCTCTATGGTTACAGAAGTAATTTTATTTCCTTGAAAGTTAATATGATTCTGGTAACTGATGTGTGAGACATTTTCAATGCTGACACCACTTCTTGAGAATAAAGAGTCTGTACAGGAAAAACGTGTACATGTTACAGTATATGGAAACACAAGTAAAGAGAGAATGTTTTTTGGTTGAGTCCAGAAATAAAGCTGAGACAACTGGATAAACATTATACTAGAGGAGTTAATGTTTCAACATAAAACACTGCTCTAAGAATGTGAAGAGACACTTCAAAAATAGTGAGCAGTTCTCTCTCTCTGGCATGCTAACTTCAGGAGTTCTGGTACAGGCCGCATAATCAAACATCTGTGGAAAGATGCTCTGCAGATCAACCCAGCGTTGTTTCAGAAAGTGAGCTAAATTGGTCTATGGATGATCCTGACTTGCAGGTGAGTACACTTCTGGACCATTTTCCCAGTAATTATTCTTCCTTCATCAGGGAAGAAGGAATGTGACCATTTGACCAATGGCTTCTAAGAGCAAATGGTTTTACCAGGTGTGGGCCAAAGAAATAATCTACATAAGTTACCTAAGAAGAGAGAAGCTGTACAAGGAGAGAGAGTGAGGTGTTCTGCAGCCTTCACAGCTTGAGCAATGTTATGAGAGATTTTGAATGCTTGCTAATTTGTAATATTTTTACTAGAAGTAGAAAAGCCTGCTTCTCAGTATCCCAGATTTGATGGGAAAAGTTACAGTCAGGTGTCATTACTATGAATTGTTTTGGATATAAAAGAGAGGAAGGTTGGTCAACCGTGAGAGGCGCAGTGAGCAGCGAGCAGGCTGTGTACTCAGCCTGGCCTCTGTGAGGCTCCTTCTGGCTGCTCCTTCTACAAGGGCGGAAGTTGCAAGACAGAAGGCAGATGGGGAACGACAGGGGTGCTTTTCTCCTGGGATATATGAAATAGTGCACAGAAAGAAACCTCACAAGCAGAGAGCTGCAAACCAGTGTGGGTGGTATCCAATTATTATTTAATATTACCTTGAAAATAAGAGACAGACTGTTGAAAATGGTTGTGATCAATGTCTGCTCTTCCATGTTCATAACTTTTTGTGCTTTATAAAAACAATATATCAATTATCTTGGGGCCCTAGCAAGGAGAATGGAGTCTTTCCTGGACTTTGACAAAGAAATATCGGTAAAATTCATTCTTAGGGTCCTTTTACTCTATCAATAGCTCAGGACTCAATTACTTTATCAATTTAACTTATTCACAGATGTGCCAGTTGCTCCACTTTAAATGTACCTCAGATTTTATCAATTAAAAATTGCTTAGATTTTCTAATACTGCTTAACAGCTTGTTGAGAACCAAGTTAGGAGGGTCACAGTGGTGGAAATAAAATGTCAGTCAAGATATTCAATTTCAGAAAATTCTCCCTTCAAGTATAAAAACCTGCTTAGATAACTTGGCATTGAGCAACCCTATGAGACACCCTTGTTTGCTTTTTTGACTCAAGTTTATTGCAGGAACAAAGACTTGACTTGCATCATTTGTGGTCAGGTCTGTAAACATTTTCTATGTTTGCATTTCTATAACGAACTAACTCCAGCAATGCATTGTGGGTACAAGTTTTGTTTTTATAAGGTTCTTCTCTATCTTTAAAAGATTTATCTTTTAGTCATGCTATGTTTTTACATATGCAAAAGAGGAGCTAAGGGTTTAGGAAAGGAAAAATAGAGCTTTAGGAATGGATATTTTCCAGTAGTTAGCATAAACTGAGACTGTCAAAACCAAAGTGAAACTGAGACTAAGAGGACATTTGGATTGCCGTAACCAAAACATGTCCCTGTGTATGAGAACAGCACCATGTAACTGACCCCTCTTACCCATCCTCTGTTTTGTTACACCCTCAAGCTCCATCTTTCCATCAGTGATGGTGAAATTTCACCATTCTACCCACAGATTTCACTGGTAACTTATGTGGAAATTCCTGGTGAACAAAGTTTATCTAAAAGTGAGGGTGTGCTGTGGTGTGGGGAAGGATCATAAGACTTGAGATCAGCTCTGCCACTCTTAGCAGAGAACGTGGTGGATGAGCTTGTTACCCTCACAGAGCATCTGGAAAACAGGAATGAAAACCACCGCAGTGTTATCATGAAGACTGAGTTAAGTGAGCAGCAGGATGAGGAAGCTCCTTAGGATATTTAAAACAACATAAATGCTAATTATTTCCTTAGACATGGGAATGATAGGGTTCCCTGCTCTATACTCTGGAACTTTCCCACCACAGTTTTCCTGTTATTTTATAGTTATGAACATGTCAAGAAAAATGTATGACTGAAGTGGATGGACAGCTTTGTCCAGTTGGAAGAGGTAGAGGCAAAAAAATAGGGAGCTCTGCTCTGGCAGAGAAGTCAGAGGCAAGTTGGGGTTCAGAATCCTGAGCAGCCTTCCTGGATTGGGTATATGGGGGAGAACCCTGGCCTTGTAGAAAGATGAAAAAGTACCCAAAGTAGGGGTGCCGTTGGGGAGCACTGAAGACAATGTTCATCTAGCCAGGTTTTGCTTAGAGTTGGTCTACACTTTCCTGCTTTGTATTGTACCTACTGCTGCCACTGTTTGGGGGGAGATTTTAAGGAGATGGAATTGCTTTATTTTTTCAAATTATAAAATAATATATATTGCATTATAGGGGCTAAGTGCCTAGACTTTGGATCAGACTTCCTGGGTTCAAACTCCATCTCTAACATTTATTAGACCTGTAACCATGGACAAGTTATTTAACTCTCTACTCATCAACTTCCTCATCTGTAGATTAATAATAACATTAGTAAAACCTTTAAAGGTTTCATTGTATAATCTTTTAACCTTTATAAGTGATTTACTTTTACCTTATAACCTTTAAAAGCAAAACCTTATAAAGTGATTGTAAAGATAAAATGAGTCAATGTGTGTTAAACATGACAGTGCCTGGCATCATAGTAGATAATGTATAAATGTTTAGTATTATTATTAGCTATAATCCCTGTTTATTAGCTGTAATATAATTTCCACTGTATTATGGGCTATATTCCAGTTTAGCATATAACCTTCCCAAAATATTTCCAGGCACATACAAACATGCAAATAGCAGTTAATTTTATTATTTTTTTAAAGCAATAGGCTCATATAGATATATATTCTGCAACTTGCTTTTTCAGTTTTAACAGTATGGAGTAGGCAGCTTTTTTGGAAGTACATATACACATATATCTTTATTCTTTATAATAGCTGTGTAGTTGTCAGACACTGCTATTTGTCCAGTGTCTGTTCTCCCCTTTGTCTTTCATAAAATAAACCATGCTTACTTCTTAAATTCCTTTTCAACCTATAGCTCACTATGGCCAGTAAGATGGAAGCAGAGATCTCTGAGAGGGGCTTTCAGGAGTTTGTAAGAAGGAAGCCTTGGTTGGGATGCACCTTCTTCCATCTTCTGCTCCTCATGGTTCTTGCCTTCTTTTCCTACCTGGAATGTGGATGTGAGGCTTGGAGCTGCAGTGGCCTTGCTGGGACTATAAAGTGATAGTAATGGGGATTAAGATGCACACACAATGGATAGCAGTATGGAAAGATATAAAAAAGCCTCCCTTCTCCTAGACTTCTTACATGAGATATGTGAATTTCTGTGTGTTAAGCCACATTTTTCTGTTGCTCTTAGGAAAATGCATTCCTATCTGATGGGGATTTTGGTATGTGGAAATGCAAGGGTTGTAAGTAATGTAGCCTAAAATGTGAAAATGGTCTAGTAGGGGAGGAAGGCTATCTGGAGGACTTTGTAGTCTGGAGAATTGGTGGCTGTTACTATCCAGTAGCAAAGTGGGAAATCTATATTTCTGCATACTAAGGCATATAATTAGGGGAAATGATAGAAAAAAATCAAATTCTTGGTAAAGACAAATTATTTCTTGCCACTTTCAGCAAAATCATTTAAATGAGATGTGAATTCAGACCACAGTTAGCCAATCTACAAGGAGGGATGGAAGAAAACACTGAAAAATGATATTCTGCTGGAATCCCACAG